AGGTATGTTTCTGGACTCTGTATTCTGATCCAGTATCCTACTGTCTAGATGTGGGCCACTGTCTTATATTTTTGAGTCCAGTAGCTAGAGTTAGTTTTAATATTTAGTGTTGCAAACTTCCCTCACTATGCTCCTTTTTTCAAAATTGTATTTGCTATTCTCAGACATTTGTTCTTCCAAAATTATTGGGCCAATTCTAAAAAATCTTTAGTCACCTTGTTAATATCTCATTAGTCTGTATCATGAAGATTATTTCATGCGTAGATGCACCATCGTTTACCTACAAATCTAGGACAGCAATAATTCAAAGATATAGGGACAGAAATCAATGTTTATTTCTTTAATAAATATTTATTCAGCACCTTCTTGATACAAGGGATCATCCCTTCTTCGTCGGCAGATGAAACAAGTAGCACCTGTCCTTCCAGAGTGCCAGCTGCCTTTGTGCTTTCTGTGCAATAACTCACTCGCCCCTCACTCCCTGCCCTACACTTGGGGATGTGAGGTCCCAAAGAGTGAAGGAGCCTGCCCTGGTTACAGCCAGCCGGTGAGTGGTGGGTCTGGAATTCATAGCAGGTGTCCTGGCTCCAGACCCCTCCACCTTAACCAGTAGGGAACACAAATATAGGGGAAAAAATCCCTGTTGACATAGAAACTGCAAGGTTTCATTTAAAAAATAAGCATACATAGAATAGTGTGGGACCAGAGGACAAAAGGTGACTTATGACCCAGAGTGCAAAGGAATACAGTACTTCGTGCAAAATATAGTCTTTGAGCAGAGCCTGGCAGAAGAAAGCAAGTTCATGCATGAAAACTAAAGAACAGGTCAGCTTAGCTACTAAAGACGGGATGTGAAACAGAGCAGCAGAAAAGAGCACAGTAGAAAATAAGTTTGGGAAGATTAACTGGAGTCAGGTTGTGAACCGTCTTTCATAGAGTTACCAGATAAAATACATGAACCCCGGTTCTAGTTGAATTTTTTAGAAAAACAACAAATAATCTTTAAGCTTCAGTATAATTTGGACATATTGCATGGCATTTACTTACACTAAAAAATGATGTGTGGGGGCTTCCCTGGTGGCGCAGTGGTTGAGAGTCCGCCTGCCGATGCAGGGGACGCGGGTTCGTGCCCCGGTCCGGGGGGATCCCACATGCCGCGGAGCGGCTGGGCCCGTGAGCCATGGCCGCTGAGCCTGCGCGTCCGGAGCCTGTGCTCCACGACGGGAGAGGCCACAACAGCAAGGGGCCCGCGTACCGCAAAAAAAAAAAAAATGTGTTATTTATCTTAAATTTAAATTTAACTGGGTGTCCTATATTCTCATTTGCTATATCTGACAACCTCAGCCTTAAAAGAAGAGGCTAAGAAATAAAATGAAACTCTGTGATGTCATTTTAAGGGTGACCCACTAAAATTTATAACATTACCCCAAGGTGTTCAAAATTACAACTTCACAGCGTGTAACAGGAGTCAGCACACTTTTTCTGTAAAGGGCCGGATGGTAAATATTGTAAGTTTTGCAGGCTGTAAACTCCTGCTGCAACTCAACCCTGCCATCTTGGGATGAGAGCAGCCTTGGACGGTATGTCCACAAATGGGTGTAGCTGCGTTCCAGTAAAATTTGAATTTCATGTAAGTTTCATATGCACAAGATATTACTGTTCTTCAGACTTTTTTCAACTATTAAAAATAGTTGAACTCACAGGCCATTTAACAACAGGAAGCAGGAAAGATTTGGCCAGAGGACTGTAGTTTACCCACCCCCAGTTCCATGATTCTCATTCTGGAGTGGAGTGAAGAGAATCTGAAAGCTCAGAATTCTTATGACTTTTCCCCAGGAGCTCTTCAAATCGGCAGAATGTCCTAGACTTCATTATAAAATTCCTTTGAATCCAGAAGAGTAGTGTTGGCATTAATTTACCCTAAAAGGATGTAACCCGTGTTTCTCGAACAATCTTGGCAGGTCCTGTGGAGTGGGAAGACCGGGAGGATGAACCGATCAGGAAGAAGTCTGATGGACCAGGTAACAAAATAAAGGCTCCCATCGGCGGGGGGCGAGATTGGAATTTGTTTCTTGCCCAGATAGTACGTAATGGAAGGCTGCCTGAAAACAATGAATTAAATCCTTTTGCTGGACTGTGACTTAATAATCAGTGTCCCTTGAAATCTCATCTCTAGTGAAATTGCAAAGGGACTCCAAAAAGTAGACCTGACCTTTACACTGTGGGATGAAATGTTGGATTAGAGTCGGCTTGTAAATTCCTTTATCCAAGTACCTATGAAAGGGAGTTTGGAGAGCAACTTGTAAATGTCCCAGGGAAGCCATCAGAGTAGAGGCACAAAAAATATTGACAATTAATTTAAAGTACATGGAAAAGGAGTGAAGTGAGAAGTAAGTAAATGCGGAACTGAGCGGGCCTCCAGGCTTGGGCCAACCTCCTCGTCTTAGGGAAGAAAACCAAACCCCACTGCGTTTCCTCAGGACTCCACACTGTGGGGGACAGAACCGGTGTCGTCTAACTCCTAGCCTGGTCACGGTGCCGTTTGGGCTTCACGGAGTCCACAATTGGGAGGAAGATTTCTCCATCAGGAAAAAAAAGAGGAGAAACAAAAGCCTCCAAATGCAATGAACCCAGGTGCCTCTTGGCTCCACAGACGCTGCTTCGTCTCTCATGGGGCTGGCATTCCTGTAAGCATCACTTAGCAGCAGGCAAGGTTTTCAGGCTCTTTTGCTCTGGACACAAATACATCCAAGGATGCCATCTGCTGACATGAAATGAGGCTTCCTGAATGCCCTCCAAGCCCTCGGAGGCACAATCCTTGAACCTGGCCTCCACGTCCAGGTAACCGGCTCATGTGTCTGTGGGACCACATACCCCTTTATTGCTGCAAAGCTTTATCACGCTTTGCACGGCACAGCTCCTTTGCCAGGCACTTTTCCATGAGCTTTACACGCATCGACTTGTTCAACCCCCTCAAAACCCTCTTCCCCATTTAACCAAGAAGAAACTGAGGCAGAGAAAAATTAGCCCACTTCTCCAAATCTACACAACCACTTGGGTAGAGTTGGGATTTGGATCCAAGGACTCAGAATCCAGAGTTTGTGCTCTTAACAACTATGCCCTCTGGCCTCTATGGTTAAAAAATAAACAAGAATAAGAATCCTAATTTCCCATGTGAGTCTATGATCACCCCAGTGGGTAAAGTGCACGTTATGTTACACAGGGCTCCAACATAGTAACACCATAAGCAAAACCGCAAAATAATTAGGCTTATCTTCACAGCTTCTAACAAAATAATTGTGAATATATGAAAAAAAATAGGTCGTCAAAAATACTAAGATGCTGCTAAAGTTTATCAAGTTTAGTCCTTCAGCCTCCAGGGGTCGAACTTGCCTTTGATGTCTACACGAAGAGGCTGTGGGCAGTCAGTATCTGCCAGGTGGGGCTCTCTTGGCTGGTTCCTCTGGGCCTGCTTGACCCGGAGGCTCAAGGCCCCTTCTCACTACATGGTTCCCCCAGCTCCTTTTCCAGAGTCCCAGCTAGCAGCTCCAAGGTTCCTGTGACCTCAGTAGGTAGCACCGTCTACCGCTTCCTTGTGTCTCCCTGACCCACCTGGACCATGTGCGGAGCCCACACTCTAGCTAAGCTTCCCTTGGATGGATTTCCTTTGGAAAGAGCAAAATTTCACCTGAGAGAAGTTCTGCCTTTCTCCTAGGCCACCCAAATGCACAAATAATTTTTTTCCATGACAAAGTCAAACTCTGGTTCATGTTTCAGTCTCTAAAGTAGAGAGAGGACAGTGACCAGGGGTGGGCCCTACACCTGGGCTAGAGGTTGCAAGACTCTACCACTTCTGGGCTAAATCCCACCTGCCACCTGTTCTTCTGTGGCTTGTTAGCTAAGAATGACTTTTACCATGTTTCATGGCTGGAAAAAAATCAAAAGAAGAAGAGTATTTAATGACATATGAAAACTATGGGATTCAAGTGTCAGTGTCCGTCATTAAAGTTTGGTAACCCAGGCTTGCCCATTGATAAACGATCCACCCACTGTCTACAGCTGCTTTCACACCAGCACAGCCGAGATGACCAGAGACAGCAAGGCTGCAGAGCTGGAAATGTGTACTGTACGGCCCCATCCAGAAAATGAGCCCCCCGCACAGAAAAGCTCATGTCAGAGAATTTTGTCTTTTTCTACCTGCTGTATTAGTGACCTTAAACTACAACCATTCCAAACGATCATCATTAATCATAAATTCATTACGATCTTACTATGACACTTGAATCTGATTTCCTTTTTCTGGTGAGAGGAAGAGTGAAGGATACAGGTTGTTTTTCTTATTGAGGGTCTTGGTGGTGGTGCTTTGATTTTTTTTTTTAAACAATAAGGCAATTCTTAATTCATTGTCCTGTTCACTAAGTATTCCCTTTATTGCAGTCAGTGTTTGAAATAGCTAATAAAACTAATTTTTTAAAAAGCCAAAGTAAAAAAATGTACACATGGATGGTGATTTGGTGATGTGTCTTGAAGCGTTCCTTGTATACCAGTTGTAAAAGCACCGATTTACGAGAAGCAATGAGTGAGACAGACGGTTAATATGGCATCTTCCCTCTTTTATTTTGATTCTGACCTAAAATAAGTTACGTCACAGCCGTGACCCAGAGTTCACATTGAATTCTGGGGGTGCCGGAGAGGCACGACATCAGGGACACGGTGGGACCCCGAGTGGAGCTTGTCACACGCGGCCTCCCAGGCGGGTCCCCAGTCACAGCTGAGATGAGAAAGGCAGCCCAGGGTCATCGGGAATCTCGGGGCTCCTGTGTTTTGGAGAGGACTGACCCCCACCCACAACCCCCGGGGAAAATTTTGTAGTTAGCACAGCTTGATGTCATTAAACACATATGGACAAGATAAGTCAGTGGTTTAGATAGACCCTTAGTGTGTGGACTGAATTCCCTACAGAATACCTTTGAGGTGGTTTAGCTGCAATCCAGCTGCAGTGAGAAGCATCAGAGTCTTCTGAGCCAACAGAATTGTTTCCCACGACAATTGTTACTTAAGAAAAGAAGAAACATACAGGAAAAGTGTTAAAGGACCCAGTTACCTGGATAGATACAGACTGTTTCTGTCCCTGCGTCAGTAACAAATATCTTTGAGCACAATCTCTACTTTTAATCAAACCTGTTAACTGCATACAGACCTATTCTGACTGATGCTTTGACCCAAGGTTAAAAACTCTATCCGCGGGCTTCCCTGGTGGTGCAGTGGTTGAGAATCTGCCTGCTAATGCAGGGGACACGGGTTCAAGCCCAGGTCTGGGAGGATCCCACATGCCGCGGAGCAACTAGGCCCATGAGCCACAACTACTGACCCTGCGCGTCTGGAGCCTGTGCTCTGCAACGAGAGGCCGCGATAGTGATAAGGCCCACGCACCACGATGAAGAGTGGCCCCCGTTTGCCACAACTAGAGAAAGCCCTCATACAGAAATGAAGACCCAACACAGCAAAAATAAATAAATTAATTAATAAACTCCTATCCCCAACATCTTCAAAATAAAAAAAAAGCATTAAGTCCCTGGAATTTATTAAAAAAAACTCTATCCGCGTTTGGTTTTGGTGCTTCCGCAGCAGGTGTGGAAAGGTCCCCCCACGGCTTCCTAGCCTGCGGTCCCCACGACGCCCCTGTCACTCCATGTTGGGGACGAGGGCAAAACCAGGGCTGCCTTTGGTAAAATACCACACACAGCACCGCGGCTGAGGGCACGATGTCCCTTTAAATCGTGTTCTCTTCTTCCTCCTAGATAATATCATCAAGAGGATATTTAATATTCTGAAGTTCACCTGGGTCCTGTTTCTGGCGACCGTGGACAGTTTCACAACGTGGCTGAACTCCATCTCCAGGGAGCACATCGACATCTCCACCGTCCTGAGGATCGAGAGGTGCATGCTGACCAGAGAGATTAAAAAGGTAGCACTACTGGCATGATTCTGAAAGTCAGTATACAGAGCCCCAAGTAGGATCAGACAAAATCCATTCTCTCTAGACAGTCTTTACATAACCCCTTTGCTTTTTTGTATATTTAAGTCTGTTCCATGCTCAGAACGAAAATAATCAGACACCACACACACACTCACACAGTCCCCGGATCTCGGCCAGTGGGTCCTTTCTGTCCCCCCCCCATCACCACCGTTTGCAGCTGCGCAGGCTCTGTCGTGTCTCATGAAGGGGCATGTTGTATAGTCTGGCAAGTTTGATGTGAAACTTCTCATAGGGAAAATTAGGATATATGCAGAGCCACAAAATACAGCCATAGATGGTTTATAGATTACATTTGAAAACAATCGTTCATTGCTGGAAAAGTTACTCTGACTTAGCAAAATTATCTACATATAAGAAGGGCTTTCTTTTTCAATATTTTAATTTTAGTTTTGGAGATGTAAGTGACATATAACATATTAATTTCAGGTTTACAACATAATAATTTGGTATTTGTATATATTGTGAAATGATCACCACAGAAAGTCTAGTTAGCATCCATCACCACACCTTGTTATAAATTTTTTTCTTGTGATGAGGACTTTGAAGATCTATTCTCTCAGTAACTTTCCAATATGCAATACAGTATTGTTAACTATAGTCCCCATGCTGTACATTGCGTCCCCAGGATTTATTTATCTTATAACAGAAAGTTTGTACATTTGACCATCTTCACCCATAAATGAGAACGGGTTTCTGTTCAGCATGACCCAGTCACATCGGGCACCATTAATTCAATGAGTTAATGTCGATCCCCAGCTTGACTAGCTTGGCTTTTCATCCTATTCAAGGTGTGCATGATGGTGGAGGGTTGTCCGTATTGAGCAGTGCCAGGCAGCTGCACAGGCCTAGTGCTTCGTGAGGACCGTGACAATGTCTCCTTCTTTGCAGGGCAATGTCCCGACCCGGGAGAGCATCCACATGTACTATCAGAACCACATCATGAACCTTTCCAGAGAGTCGGGACTGGACACCATTGATGACCGTCCTGGCGCCACCGCAGGTATACAGACAGCCCATAGGATGGACAGCTTAGATTCCCACGACAGCATCTCCAGGTACGTCACGTGCTCCACGATGGTGTTGCTTTTGACAAAGGTAACAGAGGTGAGAAATGATGGGTGAGGTGCAGATTGATCAGAATCATGCGGGGTGCCCAGCCATTCCGGGCTGTCTCTGTGGCCACAGCCAAGCAGAGCATTGCCTGTCCCTGGACCGGGCAGATAGAAGCAGGAATCAATAATAATTATTAGCAGGAGCTGTATGATTCACAGCCACAGGACCGGGATTTCCAAGCTGGAGTCAAGTCAGATGGACGAGCCTTCCACATCACAAAATGACGAATTGTATCAAGAGCTGCCTCTTTAATGCCTTTAAAATGCTGCTCCAGAAAGAATCTTCTGTTCTAGAATCTTCTACTATCTATTGCCATCCTTGATCTTTTTCCTTTCAGAAACGTTACTTTATGGTTCGTAATTTTAGAAATTTGAGACGTGGTTCTGTCTGCCCCCATCTTCCGCATTGTGTGGTCACAGCCTTACTTCACACAGGCACCTGCGCTGACCCTTCACCTGGGGCTGCACTAAACACTGTGCATGGGTTTCTTCACTTTATCCTTAAAAGACCCTTCGAGATGTACTGTTATCATCCCCATTTGACAGAGACATGAGCCTCTTCTGAAATTTCATGAGGCTATAGACTATTTCCCAAAGGGGGAAACCACACATAATTACAAATTTTTTATGTAGAACTTCAGGGGTTTCACGGGCCTCCAGAATATTATATGTGAGCCTGGCTTAAGAATAGTGGTTCCAGAACCAAACTCTGAACCAAATGAATCAAAGAGAAAATTAGAAAGTAAACTGAAAATCAGTTGTTCATAAAATAAACATACATGATTCGTTATTCCTGAAAGTTACTTATTAGTAACTTTCAGCTGTGTAACCACTGAGAATGTGGTCAATTAAGAAAGTAACTAAGTACTGTAAATCACAACTTTAGGAGGTTGAAGAAGAAAAAGAAAATAAAGACTGGCCAAAATAAAATCAAGTAACTGCCTTTAAATCTGATCCAAGGTGACAAACATAAAGCTGCACCCATAGTCAAAAACGGTGAGGCAGGAGATTTTTAAATCCATCGACTGCTTTTTAACAAAGACTGTCAAAGTATTCCAAACGTTTTTAAATGGTCAATCCGTCAATACATTTACTAGTAGGAAGCCAATACCTTTAAAATTACTTTTTAATGTTCTTTTACTCTTTATTTGTAACCTAAAGAAAAGGGAGACACAATAGGTTCATTATGTCATTAGTAGCTGAGTGAACATATTTGCCCTTTCCTTAAAGGCTGAGCAGAGCTTCCAGTTTCTTTGTTTAGGAAACTTTCAAATCATGTGTCTGCATTAGAGTCCACAGGAAGCCTTGCCGATTGCTGGGGAGGCAGTGACCTTCTCTGGGAGGGACTCCCAGCATGGAAGCTTGCTCTCCGACACCTGTGCCCTGCGGCAGGGTAGTGTCAACCCTGGTGGGGACATGGGGACACACACGCTCCATGGGGCCCGGCCCCTTTCCGAGGACCCAGCCTGCGTGGAGCCTTCCTACTCACCCCATCTCACCCGCTTTTCCCTCTGGCAGACAGTAGAGGGGGTCAGGGTGGGAACCTAACAAAGGAGTTTGTATTCCCTTTGACTTATTGGAATCGTCCCGATTTCCTTCAAATCCAGTTGTAAAATAGCGCTTTTTAAAAAAATCGTTGTTTTATGAAATCGGATATCCTCTACCTTCCCAGGAAATAAATTAGTTTAAGTTCCGTCAGGAAACGGTGACATTCTAAGGAACATTCCTAGATATGACCAGAGTGGTTATCATTTGAAATGTGTGCTGTGTGCCCCTGGGGTATCTCGATGAAGACATTGTCTGATTAGATTTGTCATCTGTTATTGTGAAGCTTCTCCTCTTCCCTTTCACTTTTAAAACTGTCCTGGCTTGGATGACAAATTGGTCCACTGCAAATAACCCAATAGTCTGGGGTTGTGTGGGGTCCGAAAGTGGGCTGATGTGACAGTACAACTCACCTAAGAATTAACAAGGTTAATAGGACTTTGGGGTCAGAGCAATGATACCCGTGCAGAAAATCGAGCAGGTGAGGGCGCACAGCATCTTTCTGCTGCCAACTCCCAAAAGGCCATGGGATCCACCTCTGAAAATAGGAAATGACACAGAAGCTCACAGATCCAGTTCCATCATCTCATAAATGATGAAACCGACCCCGAAGAGGGGAAGCGCTTTATCTAAAACCCAGCAGGCAGCCAGTGTCGGTCGGCGTGGAGACCCAGGCCCAGGCCCACTGTGCTCGTCCACTGCGTTCCTAGTTCATCTCCCCATCATCTCCTCTTTTTGTCCAGGACGGGTTGACATCTAAAGGAGTCAATGTCATTTTTTTAAAATCCTTATTAGAGACTGTTTGGTTGCCTGCGTGTTCCCCCCTCTCATTGCCCGACCCCCGTGTTGGCCATATGGCTGTAACGTGCAGTCAGGGTGGCCCCTCCAGAGCACTCGGGGCTTGGTGGGGGAGCTATAACTCCAGGAACCTGAAACCCTTTAATGGTTCCATGAGAACCTCGAATTCCCTACTCCCACAGGGGAGCCCAGAGGTAGCTCCATTGTCCTGAATGGTTTCCATTTCTGCCCCATGGTCACTGACTGTGGGCGTCTGACTGTGCAGCCAACACACAGCAGGTCCCCTAGTGCAGCCACATGTGACGTTTATTCAGGAAATCAGCCGTCCAGTATCACAAGGGTCAGCCGGGTCACTCATGCTCAAGCTGAAGATTAGCGCCCCAGGAGCCTCTGTGTCAGGCACTTTGGGGGGAGTGTCCCTCTCTGGGATTAAACTCTGCATATGAACTGCAGTCACACCTCTGTCTGAGCTCTGTTGGCTGCATCTCCAGTACTGTGATCACCCAGTAGCAGCTCAGCCCTAACTCTGCCACCCTTCCTCCCTGATTGTCAGGTGACAGGAGCTGAGGATTTCAGCCGATGGGCTCTCGCCCTCATGACATCCGCCAACACCTAAAACGTGATCTGAAGAAAACCATTCATTAGGCTCAATGAACAGTTAACAGACAAAATGGCCCTGCCACTGCTGGATTTCCTTTGTTGTTGCCTTTTACCATTTTGTTTCATTTTTTTGATGTTGGTTTATATCCAGTTGCATATCAAACCAGCATCTCTTCTCCAAGCCATCTAGTTTGGTTCAACTGAATATCACTCAGAAAATGGGATGGAAAATTCAGTTTGTTGTGGTCAGTCCTGAGCTTCCCTCTTTCCCTTTGGAGACTGTGTTTAAAAAAAAAAAAAATGACATTTTTATATAGACTTTACATGAGCAGATATTTCTGTGTAACCAGTTTGGCTACAAAATGCTCTCAATGAACTCAGAATTGGGCGGGGGGCTGTGAATAAAACATGTTTCCTTTCATCAAAAAAAAAAACTCAGTTGTAAAACTATGAATTCTGCTCTGTGAGAGAGAGGTCGGGACTTGTCTTTATTCTAGTTCCCTGTCCCACCCAGAGAGCGACATTTCCTCATTTATCAGCTGTTATATTCTTTTCAGCCCAGTACTGCTGTGTTTTATCTTCCCTTTTCTGTCCTGGAGGCCCCGCTGCGGTGGTCGCTGTCCGTGGTGCTGGAGTGGCGTGTGGTTTGCTGCATGGCGGTGTCTGGGTCGCTGACCGTGTGTGACTCCTGTTCCAGTGCTGTTTTAACACTGTATCTCTGTGACTGTTTGCGCTGCTAGCTGCTACACGGAAGCAACCATGCTGTTCTCAAGGCAGTCCACCCTTGATGATTTAGATGGACCAGAAACTGTTCCTAAAACGAGCGAGCGCGCTCGGCCCGGGCTCCGTAAAATGCTCAGCATGGATGTGTCCTCTTCGTCGGCTGAGAGCACCAGCTTAGCCTCCAGGTGCTCACACGTGCATGCGTTGTCCGTAACCGTGTCACCTCCCCCCTGGGTCATTGCACAAATGAGTTCTTGTGACCTGTGTGTTTTTGTTAATTTTTATTTTAAGAATGTGCATGACTAACCAAAGCATAACCACTGCCCTTCCTGGGATACAACTGGTCGTTCCCAGGACAGCATTCTATTAAACTAACTGCTCTTTGGTTTTTGTCTGTTAGGAGTTTCTTAAAAATCCTACTATAAACATTGTCCTTCATTTTGTAAGTATTTCACACTTTTTATTTCCAAAGGAACAAGCATGTTTCCTCCTTGGTTGAGGGCTCAGGTAGGTGGTCCTCACAGGGAGAAATGGGTCAGGAAGGGCAGGAAACTTTTTCTCACGATGTCATCCAAAGATCCATGAAGTAGGGAAAAAAAAATCCCCAAATCCCATATGTAGTCACATTTGGTTGATACAGAATGAATCTGTCCACGTTTTATACGCATAATTAACATAAAAGTCAGGATATATTTTACCATTGGTTTTTTAAAAAGAATATTATTGTGCAGTAGAATATATCACCTTTGTAGACCTTAACTTGTTTGGTTTGGAAGCGATTACTTTGGGCTTAAGTTTTCTCATTAAATCCTATGATAAAACAATAATCATTGAGAAATGAAATTACTTGCGTAAAAGCCACAAGCTCTTTTTTGAATTGCCTTTGAAAAGTCAGCAGGAGCACAGAAGCATGAGCGGCATTGTGCTTATCCCGACACCAAACAACCTACCCAGATAACCCAATCCAAAACTAATGTCAACGTTGGCAAATCAGGGGGGTGTTAAGTCCTTGTTGCCGGCAGCTATGTATCTCAGTTCAGAGCTGCAGGAGGCTGGTGCCTGGTGTTTCTGGGAATGCCATGGCCATTTGAGATGTCTTCTGGCTGGCACATGCTATGCCGTTCCACTCTGTTGATTCCTGAATGTACCAGGATTTGCTGAATCCCTTTGGGGCCAGACCTCATTTAAAACCACAGAGAGCGTGCCTGTGGTCGTTTACGGTCCCACTGGAAGTTAGACCTGGTGTGGGGCTGGCTCCAGTGGTCTGAAAACTCAGTGGGGTGATCAGTCAGTTTCACGGCCATGTCTAATCAAGGTAAGTCTTAGCCAAAGGCTGGCTGTCTTGGTGTTCCGACAGCCTTCTAACTGATGTGCACGCTTAGAACCAAAGCCCTGGGGACGCTGAAGACCCCTGAGTTAGGATCAAGAGCTCATACAAATGTGGTTCTTCAGTCTCAGGGCTCAGCCAAACGCATTCATTCATTCATATGTGTGCTCCAGTGTCCGTGACAAGAGAATGGGTACAGTCTGCGCATTTGAGCATCTCAGTGTTTATGTCCCCAGCTGCGCACACGTGCCGTTCAGATAGCAGCACCTTCTCAGAGTCTAACAGATTATCGCTCTACACCCAGCAGACTCTGCACCTCTAGATGACTTTTGCCCCCTCCCCTTCAGGGCTGGGTGTGTCGAGGTAGACAGTATAGAAAGCACGCTTTGAATTTCACGGCTCTCTGCTGTATTTCATTTCCAGCTTTTCCTGCACAGACCTGGCAGGGAAAGTTAGAAGGACGGGAGGGATGCAAAAGAGAAGAGAAGGAAGCAAAAGTAGAGTGAAGATAATGGCAGAGGAGCTCATGAAAAAGGAAGCTGGAAGGGGAGCTGGTAGCGGAAAGCTGTTGGGAGGAGAGAGAGCAGGAGGGCAGCCCGAGCTGGAGACTCAGCCCTGGGGAGAGACCCTCAGGGCAGACAGTGGTGGGCGGGGCTTCCACATGCCAGGCGGTGGGGAGGTGGTAAGCACTCAGTCAGATGTAAGAGGCACCAGTGAGAAAAGGCAAAGGATGGAAACACAGGGAGAAGCAAGCATGCAGGAAGTGTGCCGTGTGTTATAAAGCATGCCATTGTCTTGCCAACGGTCCATCATTCCTGTCCTCCCCTTACGGATCTGGGGTCCACTGAGAGTAGAGTGTATCTTGGCTAAGACCTGCGGACCCAGCCAGCTGAGGCTTCTCGTTTCCGTGAGCACCTTTCTTTAAAATCCGTACACTGGGAGGTGAGCTGTGCTCACTGTGTCTTGATTGGAAATAAACACCAGGCCCCGTGGCTGGGAAGCTTGATGGGATTGAAAACCTCTGCTCAGGAGGGTTTAGCACCCTGGGAGCCGCAGCCCAGCCCACCGTCTCTGCGGACCAGACAGATTATCCAGACAGAGCAAAGCCGATGGAACACGAGGGAGCGAGGGCGCGTTTCCCCCCACGTGCCTGGATGCGTGGCTGTGGGCGCCCTCGGGAGGGCGGGGAGTGGGATGCTGAGACCAGGTGGTGCCTGTCCCTGTGTCCCGACAGTGAGCCCACGCAGTGCACGATGCTGTACTCGCGCCAGGGGACCACAGAGACCATAGAGGAGGTGGAGGCCGAGCAGGATGAGGAAGTGCCTGAGGACACCCAGTCCCCGCAGGACCCCATGCAGGACGGCGAGGTGGAGGCCCCGCCGTCCTACAGCAAGGCCGTCAGCTTGGAGCGCCTGTCTTTTGACTCCCGGGACGACTCGGGGGGCCAGACCCACATGGCGGTCAGCCCCGACGACAGCCGCTCAGACCGCCTGGAGGCCAGCATCCTGCCACCCCTGACCCATGAGCTGACGGCCAGCGAGCTACTGCTGAACAAGTAAGAGCCTCGGCCACAGCGAAGGCCACAGCCGGGAGTGTCCCTTAGTGCCCGCTGGGCTGCTGGGCGCAGAGACCCACGTGCAAAACGTCCACTCGGACGTTTAGAGGCAACGTGCTGCTTTCAGTACTTCCTGCACCGCAAGTAGGAGCCAACTTGGTGCTTCTACCACTGAATCGTGCAACCAGCAAAGTGTCTGTAACAGACATGAGTGCTCACGTCTCTTTATTTATTTATTTATTTATTTTTGGCTGCATTGGGTCTTCATTGCTCCACGTGGGCTTTCTCTAGCTGCGGCGAGCGGGGGCCACTCTTCTTTGCGGTGCACGGGCTTCTCATTGTGGTGGCTTCTCTTGTTGCAGAGCACAGGCTCTAGGCGTGTGGGCTTCAGTAGTTGTGGCTCACGGGCTCTAGAGCGCAGGCTCAGTAGTTGTGGCTCACGAGCTTAGTTGCTCCGCGGCATGTGGGATCTTCCCGGACCAGGGCTCGAACCCGTGTCCCCTGCATTGGCAGGCAGATTCTTAACCACTGCGCCACCAGGGAAGCGCCTCATGTCTCTTTCTGTAGCACAATATGAGGTTGACGCCACAAGACACCTGGGGACCCGGGAAGCAGGGAGGGACACCAGGGTCACACCAAGAGGAGATCAGTCATCTGGGGGAATTAAGACCCACGTAGCGTCACACTGCTTATTCTAACAGGATGTTCCGTGACGATGAGCTGGAAGAGTCGGAGAAGTTCTATGTCGGGCAGCCCCGCTTCCTGCTGCTGTTTTACGCCATGTACAACACGCTGGTGGCCCGCTCGGAGACGGCGTGCTACTTCGTCATCATCCTCAACCACATGGTCTCCGCCTCCGTGGTCACACTCGTGCTGCCCATCCTGATCTTCCTCTGGGCCATGCTGTCTGTCCCCCGGCCCAGCAGACGCTTCTGGATGATGGCCATCGTCTACACAGAGGTGGGCCTCGGGCGGAACTGGCCTGCCCGTCACAGGGCATCACTCTGGGTGGGCCTGCCTGGCTCCAGACAATTTCACATAAACAGTCAGTGAAACGGATATTCTTAGGTGGACACATGATTATAACCAACAGTTACCTGGTGCCGGTAATTATATTTATCTTTTCACATTTCACACCTCACACCGCATAGGGGCTAATATCATTCCATCTAACAGGTAAGGAAATAGCCTCACTGAAATTAAATAATTGCCCCGAAGTTACCCAACTAGCGAGTGGCGGGGGAGGCCTTTGAGGTCCGGTGTCTGCCCTGTGGTTTCAGCCACCAAGACGGTAAGTGAAAGGCAGACACAAGCACGGCCCGGGGGCCAGTGCAAAGTCAGTGAGTGGACATTGGATCAGACAATACAGTGAGCACTTTGAACAGTTCGATGCAACATGCGTTTTTCCCATTTTTAAACCTAAAGCCAATTTCCACACATCAAAACACACAGTCATATACCCACCCCCTTAAAAGTCTGAATAACAGAAAAGGAGAATTGCCACCCCGTTTTCATCACCCGTGAGGGGACAAGAGACACTCTGTCCAAATATACGAACCTGCTTTTCTGCCCTGCCCTGTTGTGTACGTAGCAGTTCACAAATTCCCACGGCAACCGTGAAACTGGGAGTAAAAGGGAGGCTCTCACAGACTTTGCTCCTTGGGCCATCACGGTTCTTTGTCATCTTAGGTTTGTGAAGAAGCCTCATTTTCTTACCTGGCTCAGAAGGAAAGTTTTCACTAACAGTGGAGCTGTAATTGCTTCTTCAAGGGTAGTACTCATCATGGTGTAGAGTTAGAGTCTAGAAATTTTATAGGTTTACAAGTAATTCAACAGCAAAATTAAAACAAAGTCATGTATTAAATCATCTCCAAAGTATTCATTTTAAAGTATTGCTATCATGCATCTTATTTCCATAATAAAAATAAAAAATGTGAAGCCAAATACATACCCATGACTTTAATTAGTCTGTCTAAATAATGGCTCTTAAATATTACTTCCATTGCGTAACTTGGTGATCGGGGCATAAGCGACTCCCTGTTTGGGGCCTGGAGATTCTCCCCAGCGCCTCTGCAGGAGGAGCTTCTTACCCCGGCTTGAGGTAAGGGCAGGTTCTAGGAATGTGGAGAAGGGAGAAAGAGCCGCTGGTGCACAGCTTTCGTCTTGAAATGAGACCTTCCCGATTCAAAGCGGGGCTCTCCATTTTCTCTGTCACACTGAGGTGTTGTTGACGTAAATTCCCTCCACAACCCAGACTTTGGGCCACAGCTGGGGGCTCTGCTGGGCAAGAGGAAACAACAGAAAGTTTTAAAAAATGGTCGTTCCTGTTTCTCAGTGGTCGCAGGTTCCTGTGGCAAACTGATGAGTGGAAACGGAGAATTGCCTACAGTTCAAAACCACACCGTGTGGCCGGGCGCCAGTGCAGAGCGCGGCGGGCGTGTGGCCTCGTGTAGCCGGGGTGGGGGGACTCGTCAGCACAAGGGGGTACGTGGGAAGGAGAGAAGTTCGGCAAGGACGAAAGCAAAGTGAGTCCAGTCCTTGCGAAGAAACGAAGGCGTAAGACAGCCCGGCGAGCACGGGACAGACGGGCCATGATGGGGCTGCAAGGAGGCTGGAGGGGCGGGCAGCAGAGGTGCCCAGGGATGCCTGTCCACGGGGTATGAGCTCAGCACTCGGTCACTTGGATTGAAGGAGTTGAACGGGACACGACTCCGTCAAGTGTGTGTTTTAGCAAGTTTTCATAAAGTGGAGGCTTGGAAAACAGCCGGGGTGAGAAATATCACGGTCCGGACCGATGTCACCGCAGGGGGGCTGAGAGGAGGGGGCAGAGGAGCAGGTTCAGGAAGGGACACCGGGTGGGGTGCAAGGGGGGTGTGGCTGGACTCTGGCTTCTGTGTGGGTACCCAGCGTGCTGGGTGCAAGCACCAGGGTAAGGGACGCAGGGCTGCTCTTCACAGAGGCTCGACTTTGGGAAGAAGTGTGAGAGGAGGAGGGCTGAAAGGGGACTCTAGGTCAATGGAGGACTTGTAAAACTATTTTTATTGATGGATTATGTGTAATGAATTAACCCCTGATGACACAGACGTTGGATGATGTTTCAGTGTCCATCTCTGCAGACATCTCCACGTTTGCACCGTGAGCTAGTTACCAGCACAATTGGCAAGATTTTGTTTCATTCACTTTTATTTCTTGAGGACTTCCAGTGAGCAATAAAATGGTGAGAAGAGAGAGAAGAGAATAAAGTAATATCGTGTACAGCGAGCCTGTGTGGTTTGCTCCTAAAGATTACAAATTAAAGCAATACCGTAAAGTATAAAGATCTTCCTGTTCTTGTTGGTTCTAATTACCATAGTTAATAGCTGAATACTTGTATAAATATCTAATTGAATCAGTAGAAATTAGCCAATTCCTCAACAGTAGCAGAAGTCATTTAAGCCGAGTCAGAAGTAAGCTAAATGGCCCTGATGTATCCGTAGTCAAAGGCCCTGGAGGTGGGCTTCCCCGATGGCGCAGTGGTTGAGAGTCCGCCTGCCGATGCAGGGGACACGGGTTCGTGCCTCGGTCCGGGAAGATCCCACATACCGCGGAGCGGCTGGGCCCGTGAGCCATGGCTGCTGAGCCTGTGCTCCACAACGGGAGAGGCCACAGCAGTGAGTAGGCCCGCGTACCGCAAAAAAAAAGGCCCTGGAGGTGAGATTCTGCGCTTGTCCTAAAGTCAGAGTCTGAGAATGAGAATTTGTTATTCCACATGGTGTGTGCATTCCCAGCAACAAAACTGAGACTTTTTTCCCTTAATTTTTTTGTATCACTGTTTCTCCTATAGAACTATTCTTAAAAGGACTCGTTTTTTAAAAATTTCTATCATCTGTGTGCAGGTGGCAATTGTGGTCAAGTATTTCTTCCAGTTTGGGTTCTTTCCCTGGAACAAGAATGTGGAATTGAACAAAGACAAGCCTTACCACCCACCCAATATCATCGGGGTGGAGAAGAAGGAGGGCTACGTTCTCTACGACCTCATCCAGCTGCTGGCCCTCTTCTTCCACCGGTCCATCCTGAAGGTACTGCCCGTTCACAGCCCCTGAAAGATTCCCGAGAACCCGAACATTGGGATCGCATGGGGCCGAGGGTCCGTGGGGTGGGGTCTGTGTGTGTGCTCTTTTTTCCTTATTAACAGACAGTTGTGTTCATTTCATTCATTTTCTCCAACACTGTGTGCTCAATAATGGAGTTTGTAATAAATCAAGGGGAAATTTTCCCGTTTCTACCCTGGGCTGAATATAGCCTAATTAACCCAACGCCCGAACGGTGAGCAGTTCTTACCTCCTGATCCACGGCAGATCATCAGGGAGCTGCAGTTTGGGGTCTCCTCTCCATCCTGACCTCGGCCCACCCGCTTCTAGTAGCATTGCTTTTGTTGTAGTTTCTTTTCGTGAAACCACCGGCTTTAGTGAGAGACTGTGTACGTGATGGGCCCGGGAAGCCCAGGGCTGTGCTCCCAGAGAGCACAGCCTGAGAAAGCCATTCCCTCGTTGCTCTGGGAAGACCTGTCTACAGAGTGACCTTCTCGGGATCAGTAACTCCTGTCACCCCGCTGAGCATCTGTGGGGCTTTTTCTTCTCACACACTGTGAATTATAAGCTAAACTTGTAATATGCCACTCAACTCTAAAACTTAGATATTGATGTGCCTATGGTCACAGTCTTACTTTCCTTCTCTTATTTTAACCTTGTCTCGTATAACGTATTTTAAATTCATTTTATCAAGTAGTATCTTTATTCGTTCCTTTTGAGAACAAGCTTGGCCTCAGTTAATGCATACACACACATACATGCACACATACATGTAACAGTATGTTCAACTTCTGTCCTATTCAGTGGGCTGTTTCAAACAGGCTTTCATGGTGTACCATGACCAAGACCTTTACTCCGCCTTTTGTCACCTTGCAAACTGCAAGTCCCTAACCCTTCACTTGGCGGGGGGTGGCTTACCTGAGTCATTGGGGCGTGGTGAGTTTGCAAAGGTATTTATCCACAGGCACCCATTAGCCAAAATAAAATTTGCTTAATTTTTCCAGTTCTTCTGATGAATATGGTAATTACCTGAATGTAGCCAATTGACTAATTCTTGACGAACATATTAATAGATGTTTAACCTTATCTTTTTAGTTCTAGAAATTAAAGTTTTAAACTTCAGCATTTAGTATAATTTTGGCCGCTTCCAATTTCTCTTGCAAATTCTGAATCCTTTTGCGTGTCATTTTAAGAAAATTATAAAACTTTAGATCTTTTTATTACTTTTTCATCAACATTCAAATGGTTTAACAGCTATGATTTTATATTTAAAGCACACGATAAATGAAATGTTCGGGTTTCATATTGGTACACTTACTCTGATTTCTTCTTTGAAAATGTCTTATATACAGTGAATATATTTGAGGTACTGTAATGCTGAAATTTTGGCTGATGGTATGAAAAATGCTTTTGTAATGATAAATCCTTTCATAAAAAGACAAAACTATCCTACAGCTTTTGAAAAAATAAGCCTTTTGACAATGCTGCTTTGAAATCCAAACAATTAAAAACTATGTGCAAATTTCAAAAGTGGTCAAAATTATCCTATTTATATGAATCACTATAATATTATAAATAATTGGAAGAATTAACAAACCTAAATAAATATGCTACTAAGAAAGCAGTGAAAGAATCCAAATATGTTAATAAAATGTTAACAAAAGACAAAGCCACTTCTAAAATGATTTGCAAGAAATCAGTATACACTGAAAAATCCCATTATGAGCACCTAAAATGTCTGTTATAAGAATACATTCATTGAACGTGTTTAAGAAATAATATATCTATACATAAACATTTAAGAATAATCTGTAAATTAGGTGACTCTGTCTTTGGATGAATGGATCGTTCTCCGAGTTGGTTTGGCAAATGGGCCTGGAGCTCTTATTCTCTACAGAGTCAGACGGAGGACTGGACGGGGTCCTGGGGATAAATGCTAGCCTGGCAGCCAGGGTGCTCAGGGGGTGGACAGCTCACTGGGCAGCTTCGTCCAAGGTCAACACCAGGGCGACTTGTGGTCCACGTAGCATCTCATTCCAGGAAAGTCCTGCTTCCTCAGCCCTCTCTTCTGCAATCCTCCTTCCTGTCCTTACCGGCCCCCTTTCTCCCACTTCCTTGAAGCAAAAACCAGGCTCTGCAGGATGCATCACAGACTCTCACACGTGGGCCAGCATTGTTGGAGTAGAGTATTTGCAGGTCTGTTCCTGGGTCAGCCGTGGTGATCCCAGGTGATCCCAGGATTCAGGTCTTGTGGTGCAGGCTGGGGGAGGAGCAGCACCGTAATTCCAGTACAGATATCTGGTGAGCACGGGGCGGGGATCAGTTCACCCATGGTCACTTCAGCTCGGTACTGCCGGTGCACGCTGTCAGCACAGCAATGTGTGCTGGAAAGCAATTCCGCTCAGGGAACCAGCTGCGTTGATTCTGTTTGACTTCCACCCCATCATCTGTCTCCATCTCCACTGAAGAGCCAAATGCTATGGTCTGTGCCCACCGCCTCCACTCTGCTGGGACCGTTGGAAAATTATAGATGATACTCTTTCTTAGAATCCTTTGCACTGCTTTGGGTTTCTAATCTTTTTTTAAATTTCAGTTTTATTGACGTATAATTGATGTATAATTGACAAAGTTTTATTGACGTATAATTGACAAATGAAATTGTAAGGTATTCAAGGTGTACATGTAGTGATTCGATAAACGTATACATGGAGCAAAGGCTCTCTCCCTCTGGTTAATTAGTGCATCCGACACCTCCTCACCTGCCTCTCTGTTTGGTGACAGCATTTAAGTTGCACTCTCGTAGCCAGTTTCCGCTGTACAACAGTGTTGTCAGCTACAGTCGCCCTGTTTTACGTTTATCCTGAGGGACGCTCTGGTGGCTGGGATGTCATACGGCAGAATCCCAGCCCCCTCCCCGGAACGGCGGGCTGAGCTGCCCCTTCCTTGCCTTCCCAGTGCCACGGCCTGTGGGACGAAGATGACATCGCAGACAGTGGCTCTGACGAGGTGGGCTCGGACGACGCGCTGTCCCTCAGCCACGGTAGGAGGGGTTCCTCCGACTCCCTGAAGTCCATCAACCTGGCCGCGTCCGTGGAGTCGGTGCACGTGACCTTCCCCGAGCAGCCGGCCGCCATCAGGAGGAAGCGCTCCAGCAGCGGCTCCCAGATGTCCCAGGGCTCCAGCTTTTCCTCCAATAGGTCCAAGAGAGGTATCTGTCACACGGTGTCCCCAGGCTGAACCGTTTCCCTGGTTCCAGTGGGTCCGGGGCAGGGGAGTTTGTTGGGTGCTGTCGAGGAGACAGATACTGTGACGTGAAAAGAATGTACTTTGCAACCAGACAGACGGAGTTCCGAGTCCGGGCTGAGATGTGTGTGTGGTCCGGGGCGATCACATCACTATCCAGGGTGTCTGTCTGAGTCGTCCCTGGGACGAGGATTTCAGGTCGTGGAGAAAAGTGGCCAGCACGCCGCCTCGTACCTAGTGGGTGTTGGATACAGGGTAGTTATAAATCATATCCAGAGATTCTGCTGAGTATAAATCACGATTTATTTTGAAAATACATTTTACTCAATGGGAACTTTTAGCCAAACTTTCTTAGTTATTTCCTAAGCTAGTTATTAATTTCTTACTCAACAGCCAGTAATAGGAAAGTACATATGCGTTCCAGTTGCCCCTCTTGGGGTAAGTGGGCTTTTGTGTTGGTAGTGCTTTTGTCTGAAGCCTTCCAGACACTCTGTATTCATCAAGACGTTTTTCAGGCAGGCACTGGCAGGTCATCTCATATTTGTTTTACAGTTAGAGAAATTTGGACCTGAAGAAAGGCATGGGTCCTGGACCCAATCTAGAAAACCCGCAACAAAAACCTGGGACCCCACTGAGCACGATAAAAACTGTTCTCCGGTCTACTTCCTCCTGGGACAGAGGTCCCACGGTGGCCGAGGAAAGAGCCAGCAGTGGGTGTGAAAACCCACGGATGCCTTTGGCTATAGAAGCAGAGTTGAGGCTGCAGATTCCAAGTTCTCCGCCTCTGTTCTTACGGGCATCTGCGTGTCTCACCTTCTAAGCAGCTTCAAACCATCCTCTGTCCTGGGGCGGTGGGGCTTCTGCAATATTTACGTCGACAAACCTGCAACTCACGGTGCATCTCGCTTTCTTTTCATTTTCAGGCAGCACAAGCACCCGAAACAGCAGCCAGAAAGGAAGCAGCGTTGTGAGCGGCAAGCAAAAAAGCAGACGGGAACGTTACGTGGAGAAGCTTCGAGAACACTTAATCAAAGCAAAAGCGTTTACCATAAAGAAGTGAGTGCGTGAGAACGCCTTGGGGCTGGGGAGCTGGTGTCACTTACTCCATATCAGCCAGAGGTGACGAGTGAAGTGACTTGTCCCACCACAGACATCTGCTTCAGGCAGAACGAAATAGCCCATCGTGACACTGCTTTTAAAAATCACCTTCCAATAAGGATGATTTATTTTTACATCCACTGCATTTCTAAACACACTTTTTCCATTCGAACACGGGCTCACCGTGTGTATTCCCAGGCATATGAAAGAGTCCAACCAGACAGAGAGGGAATGAAGTCAAAGCTGGAAGGTTCTTAGAGATACACTTACCCCATAGAGGGAAACCGAGGTGCACGAGGGAAGTGGTTTGTCTGTCACGCAGCCCAAGTTCACCAGCCGAGTTCACAGGCCCCTCCCCCAGGTGACAGGGATGCAGAGACAGGAGTGGAAACGGGGGAGGTGCAACAGGGCTGGCCCTGAGTCTGGGCTCTGAGACCGAGGGCGCTGCTCACCTGAACGTGGCCTTGAATTGAAGGTGGAACCCAGAGCACAGTGAAGATAGGGGGACAGGGGCTGGGCAGACAAGTCAGGGCCAGGGCACACGGTCATGAAGGATGGAGCGAGGTGAGCTCCAAAGCCCAGGGCGCTGCCCGGGACCCGGGGGACACACGGGGTCGGAAATGGGAGGAGCAGGGGCTGCGTGGCGTTTCCTGGGTCTCAGGTAGGACCACAGGCCCCGTTTGCTCTCACCGCAGCCCGGGCCTCCCGCCTCATTACTTATCACACCTTTTATAGAAGCGCAGAGGGCTGGGTAGCAGGATCAGGGCCTCACAGGTGGAGACTAATCAAATCAGGGGATAAGCCGGCCCCTCATTTCCGGGGCTGCCGCTCCATTATGCTTCAAGGAGAGAAGAGGTCTGTGGTCCCGTCGGCCATGAACTAGTACACAGCCTCTGTTGGGGCAGGAGCCCCCCTTCCCCCAGCAGACCGCCCTGAGGTCGAGGGCAGGGGGTGAGAGCTGGTGGGAGGAGGGAAGCAGAGGATGGAATGCTCTGATCACTGTATCCAGTGGCTCCTGCATCCCCCTCTCCGGGTGTCTGTCTGGCAGGACCCTGCAGCTCTACGTGCCCATCAGACAGTTCTTCTACGACCTCATCCACCCCGACTACAGCGCCGTGACCGACGTGTACGTGCTCATGTTCCTGGCAGACACCGTCGACTTCGTCATCATCGTCTTCGGCTTCTGGGCCTTTGGGGTAGGTCGGGGACCAAGGCCACTGCACACCAGGGACTAGCGCTGCTGTCCTGTGGGTGCCACCGGGCCTGAACCTGTGGTCTCCCCCCCAGAAACATTCAGCCGCGGCCGACATCACCTCCTCGCTGTCGGAGGACCAGGTCCCGGGGCCCTTCTTGGTGATGGTCCTCATTCAGTTCGGCACCATGGTGGTGGACCGGGCACTGTACCTCAGGAAGACGGTGCTGGGGAAGGTCATCTTCCAGGTCATCCTGGTGTTTGGGATTCACTTCTGGATGTTCTTCATCTTGCCTGGTGTGACTGAGAGGTAAGGCCTTCGGAAGCTAGAGCCGTGGGGGCCGCTTTCACGCAGACATTTTCGTAAGGATCAGCCCGTAGGAGAAGGGAAAGTTAGGGGGTTTAATCAATACTAAACTCAGTGTGAAGCCAAGGTGTGAGCTGATTCCTCAGAAACGTTATCACTGCGTTTTATACGCATTCTCAGACCTAGTGCTCTCAGATAGGGAGGGGACAGGCTGAGCGGTCAGCGCACACCTGGGGTCCTCGTGCTGTGACCTGAGCAGATAGAGAGACGGACTGGAGTGCGGTGTTAAGAGCGTAAGGGGATGAGAGGACGCAAAAGTGTGTCACATGAGAAGTAGATGAAAAGAACAGAGTCTGTTCAACTGGTAGAGAAAGGGGGTGCAGGTGACGAGGGGTCTGCCTCACTGGGTCCTTCTGAGGGGTAAACACAGCAGCCCCCGTGCCGCTGCTGCTGTAGTTAATACAACTATTGCTGTGAAGGTGCCTTGGAGGCCGAGGACTTGGGTAGGGAAGGGCTGGTGCTGTCCCAGGAGGGGGCTGGAGGCCGTCTTTCCCTCTGTCCCTTGAGCCCCCAGCTCTGGCCATGCTGACCCTCCTCGGTGCCTCCTGACAGCCTCTCCCCTCCCCAAGGTCAGATCTCAGACCAGAGGGCACGCCTCCACCCAGAACAGTGCTGGGGCCAAGTTGGTGCTTCACGCATGAGCAGATGAATGAGTCAGTCCAGGAAAGAAAAACCAGGGAGACCCCTATCAACAGGAAATGCAGGCAGACCTTGGGGATACGGCGGGTTCAGTTCTGACCACCGCAACAAATCGGGTGGCAGGAATTTTCTGGTTTCCCGGTGCCTATAAAAGTTACATTTACACCAAACTGTAGTCTGTTAAGTGTGCAATAGCATTATGTATTAAAAACACAATGTTTATACCTTAATCTAAAAAGACTTTATTGCTAAAAAATGCTACCCATCACCTGGGCCTTCAGTGAGTTATAGTAGTAACATCAAAGATCACTGACCACAGGTCACCGCAACAAATACGATCGTAATGAAAAAGCCTGAACTATTGCAAGAACTACCTAATTGTGACACAGAGACACGAAGGGAGCAAATGCTGTTGGAAAAACGGTGCTGACAGACTTGCTGGACGCAGGGTGGCCACAAACTTTCCATTTGTAGAAATCACAGTATCTGTGAAGCGCAGTAAAAGGAGGTGTGCCTGGTATCGGCTCTGGTAGACGATGAAAGCAAAGGGTCTGCAGAAGGGGAGCAGGGAACTGTCCATATAACATGAGAGGAGTGACCTTTTTAAGAACATGTCATGAAAAGGTCTTCATGTGTACCATCAGTTTGATCTCTTTATCAGACCTCATGAGTCATTCACAGCCAAGCCTTAGGAATAACCTGTCCGTCAAGCTGGTGAGCACCATTTTTGGAGTAGCAAGTAATGAAAATGGATTTTCCTAATGTTGTTCAGAAACCGACTCAAATGTAATTCTCCACGAGGAAACCAAGTCTCTTCTACCAGTGGCTAGACTGACGTCTGCCCCCACCTGAACGTTCAGGCTGACTTTTTGACCTCAGTCTAGGGAATCATTGCTTTGTGATAATAAATGGTGGCAATGAAAATATTTTAAAAGGAAAATTGGAATTAGGATAATCTTTCCTGAGTCTAAAGTAGAACTAACTATATAAAGGGTCGTTACTCAGAAGATACCCAATAGCTCCGTAAGCCTTCCATTCCACACCGCAAACTAGGGTAGTAAATGTAGCTCACATGATAAAGATAATTCAGAATAGGGCAAGCCGTTTGTAAAAATATTAGAATTTGGTCATGAGAACATTGTGAATCTTATTTTTTTTAAAGAGTTGTTTTTTTTTAAATTTATTTTTGGCTGCATTGGGTCTTCGTTGCTACGCGCAGGCCTTTTCTAGTTGCAGCGAGCGGGGGCGACTCTTCGTTGCGGTGCGCGGGCTTCTCATTGCGGTGGCTTCTCTTGTTGTGGATCATGGGCTCTAGGTGCGTGGGCTTCAGTAGTTGTGGCATGTGGGCTCTGTAGTTGTGGCACACGGGATTAGTTGCTCTGTGGCTTGTGGGATCTTCCCAGACCAGGGCTAGAACCCGTGTCCCCAGCATTGGCAGGCAGATTCTTAACCACTATGCCACCAGGGAAGTCCCTTATTTGTTAGTCTTTAAAACAGAGTAAGTACAATTTTCTCTGTAAATATTTAATTATAGCTGTCTCTCAAAGCAGAGAAATAGGCCAAATTTAACACCCAGGATACCTGGATGGTGAATTTTGGTAATTTGTCTGATATTTAAAAGCATCAAGGAGGCATCCTCCAGCAGCTCTCATTGAAATTCTTAATTTCAGAGAAGAAAAGAGCTTAAAAAGCTTTCTAGACCTACTGTCTAATTTTCCAGATGAAGACAGGTGAGCCCATATGGAAGTGTGACCTCCTCAGAGTCACTCAGCCAATTACTGGAGGGACCAACCCCCAACCACAGGGCTCTTGGCCCTACCGTGTGCTGCAGCTACCGTATACTGCACTCCTGTCCCCATGGGAAGCATCCCGTACTTGCTTCCAGGAAGATTTTTTTTTTTTAGGTAACACAACCTAAAAACTCTGCAGTGTGAAAAGGATTTGATTATTCCAGCCAGTCCCAAGAGAGAGTTCCAGAGCCCTTGAGCCTAAATCTTTGCCATGTCCTGACAGGGGGTCCAGCAGAGACCAGAGCTCCCAGAAATACTGCAACAGTGAAGCCACTGAGAGTCCTTTTAGCATTTTAGTCCTTTTAGGTCAAATCGGCAGATGGTTTGGTTATTGCTGCTTGTATTGGTGTCCTGTTGCTGCCGTAACAAATCACTACAAAGTTAGAGTTTAAAGCAATGCAGGTGTGTCGTCTTGCAGTTCTGCAGGTCAGGGGGCAGACCCAGGTCTCACTGGACTGATTCATGTGTGTGGGCAGGGCTGTGGTTCTTTCTGGAGGCTCCAGGGGAGCATCCACCTCCCGCCCTCTTCCAGCTTCTAGAGATGCCCATGCTCTGCACCTGTGGTCTCCTCCTCCATCTTCAAACCCAGCATCTGTTCCCCTGCCGCGTCTCCCTCCACCCATGGCTGAGCAAGGCTCTCTCCCGCTAAGGACTCACTGACTGAGGCCACCTGGACAGCCCCGGTTGCTCTGCCTCTCCAGGTCCCCGACCTTAGCACGTCTGTCAAGTCCTCTTTGCCATGGGAGGTCACACGTTCCCAGGTTCTGGGGACTAGGACGTGCACGTCTTTGGGTGGGGGCTGGGGGCATTCTTCTGGCGACCACGCTGTCCTGCCAGGCTTTTGAGGAGGTCAACAGCCTAGCGACAATGCCTGCCAACCAAACACGGCTGAAACATCCGCTATAAGTACCGAATGAATGAGAACTTCTCTGGGGTGTCTTACAAATCGTGCATATTCAATTCAATTTCACGTTTATCGAGCACCTCTTAGGTCCAGGGCAGCAGACCAGGAGAAAAGGGCTGTGACACCCACGTGAATAAAGCAAGGACCTGTCGGCCTTTCACACACTGGGCTCCCAGGCTCCCGACACTGTGAGAGTCACCAAACTATGGCCACACAGGTCCTCTGTTCTCCTGGGATCTCACCTTTGGGTCTCACCTAATGGCCATCCCTAGTGCAACAGACTAATCTGTCTTTGGTTTTGGATCTTTAATTCAAGATATATTAGGATCGGTGAGCCTCTGGCGTCACTGCTGGCATGTCAGTGACAACATAATTTCTTGACATTTCAAACTGTGCTGCTACTTTTTTTTTTTTTTTTTTTTGCGGTACGCGGGCCTCTCACTGCTGTGGCCTCTCCCGTTGCGGAGCACAGGCTCCGGACACGCAGGCTCAGCGGCCACGGCTCACGGGCCCAGCCGCTCCGCGGCATGTGGGATCTTCCCGGACCGGGGCACGAACCCGTGTCCCCTGCACCGTCAGGCGGACTCTCAGCCACTGCGCCACCAGGGAAGCCCTGCTGCTACTCTTTAACCTCCAGAATTCATTTTTCTTCCTTCAAATTTACTGAAAATTTCATTCATTGTTTAAAGAGAAATCATTGGTTAACAGTCATATTGTCTAAATCCTTTCCAAACAAGGAAAGCGTAAGGGGAGAAATGGATTAGGAGTCTTTTAAGCCCTACAGAAGAAAATTAGGGCTACCGGTCATAACATTGAGGACAAGGAAGCTCGGATATCTTGAATAATTTATCTGATAAATTGGCTTTTTCTGTGTGCATCACACCATATAGCCCACAAATATCCAAGGGTTCCCTACAGTCTACACAGCTCTGCACGGTAGGTGACGAGGGAGACGGGGAGGGCGTGACTCCAGCCTCCGGGAATAAACCATGTAGAGACGCCACAGACAAACGCTTCCCAGTACAGGGCAACCTCAGGGTCCCTAATTACGGTTAACGTGATGGCTTCAGGATCTGTAGGTTAACTAGTACTTATTCCAAGTTGACCCACTTTAACATCATAGAAAGGGAATTTTTTTTAGTAGGTAAAACAGGGGTTGGACCTTTTATAAAGAATAGAAGGCAACACAGTTCTAAGTCTTTGATTATAATTTTGATAAATATAGAAGAATTCTTTCCCATGTAGTTTTTATATCAAGTATCTGTAAAATCAAAGGGCATTTTCCTGGAGAGAGAAAAAAAAATGTGATTTCCTAAAGTTCCTAGAAAGATGACGAACTGGAGAGTTGATGGGGGCTCTCCGTAAAGTATCTGATATCTTACTGGTAACTTGTCAAGCGCCCACCATGGTCAAATGCAGTTAAAGTAATTCATTAGGTCCTGAAATACCGAGGCTGGGTTTCTCCACAGCAGAGACACTCATAAGCAACATTTCTGAGATCCTTAGCTGCCGACATCCACGTGGAGGCCTCTAGGCCCCCAGACACATAGGCCCACATGCTCCTGGCTTGTTCTTAGATCTTATCAACTAAAGAATAGCTGTCCTCAATGAAAAAATAGTACACGTTTTCTTCTGATAACAAAATTGAAAATTAATAAGACAAATCCAGGATACAACATAAAGAGTAATACACTGCTTTGTCTAAAAAACGTAAAGTATCGCTCTTAATTTTAAACACAGGGAAGATTATACTTAAGTCTTACTGAGTTGAAAGTCGGATTCATTTTTAAAAATTTGTACTAATCATGTTTAAGACTCACAGGATGCCGCATTTATCCGAAGTTAAAAATGATCCTATAGGTCATCATTCTTTGAAAATGTGTTCTAATTTTTTTTCCAGTGTGAAATTTAGTTCCACTAAGTTTCTGCTCAGACTTATGCTAGCATTCATGAACTGTTCAGCACTATGGGCCTCTTCATTAACTGTCCACCAGGAGAAGGAACTACCATCTCTAGCTCTGAGGATGTCATTAGAAAAAGGCAAGTTAGTAGATCAGAAAGTGATGGATTTTTAGAGCGAGGGAAGCTTTTCATATAGACATTGATGTTTAGAGAAATGATGGCTTGAGGAACAAACTCCATAGCAAACAGAGCTGGAACCAAAATCCAGGTGTCAAAAATGTATTAATCCCTGACCTGTCTTATGTATGTATAGCAAAAGAAAAAAAAATGGGGGTTCATTTCTCAGAATTCTTTCTCCTACATCTTCCAAATTATGCATCTTGTCAAGTAAAAACCACATTTTGGTTTTTTCTTTGTTGAGCTTTAATTTGAACCATGATAGCGGCACCATCAAAGTCCTGAGAAAATGTTTATTAGTAAATTCACTTAACATTTATTTTAATTATGGCTGAAACAACTGAATAATGCTCTAATAAATTGGGGGCACATTCAGAGCAATTTTTTTTTAATGATTAGATTTCCTGACCCCACCTCTTGCCTCTTGAAGAGATCCACTATGTAGAGAGAATTTACTGAATTGTCTTTAAGTGCCAGATGGGCAATTAGGCTTTTTAAAATTTATGCTAAACTGGTGTCCTTTTGTTCCAGAAGACTATTCCATCCCTCCACTTTTCTGTGTTTTCACATCTCAGGAAATTCAGCCAGAACCTGGTCGCCCAGCTTTGGTACTTCGTGAAATGCGTGTATTTCGGGTTGTCCGCCTACCAGATCCGCTGCGGCTACCCGACGCGGGTCCTCGGAAACTTCCTCACCAAGAGCTACAACTACGTCAATCTCTTCTTGTTTCAAGGGTGAGACGCTCTGTGCTGTCACAGCCACTCACAGAGCGGGGCTGGCCGCGGGACGGCATTGTGTCCCCTCCCTGGGAGGGAGTGGAGAAGAAGCTGGTGACCTCAGCCTGTGGGTCCCTGCAGGGCTCCTACAGTGTTTGACAGGAGAGCATGTGTGGCCCTTGAAATGCCTTTTTGTGTGTGGTTCCACCCACCTGGCCAGGATGCTGCTCTAAAGTCGGCCGCGTGGGTTCGTTTTCTATTTCTGTATCGTGTATAATTACACTGATAATATTTCAGGATGAAAAATTGGGGTCCATGATCCTAAGTATTAATATATTCTGGGCACAGTGCAACAGAATATTTGGAATCTGAAGTGTTCCAAAAATGCCTCTGGAATTTTGCTTGTGCAACATGCCATCCATGGGAGGGGCACTGATTCCACTAATGTCAACCTGAATGCCATGCGACTTGCCTGTTCCTGGTAGGAAGTTATTACCACTCACACGGACATGTTGGTTCTTCTGTGTGAGGGCTTCGGTGTGAGCATCCCCTCCCGGTTCCCATGGAGATTATACCACAGGGTGAAGGGTCAGGCTGCGGGGGCACTGCTGGCCCCTGGAGCACCAGGCGTGGGGACCGGGGACTCAGTCACGGAGGAGTGTTGAGTGTGCTCGGATGTTGAGAACCACCACGCATGTCAGAGTTTCACTGCATGCTACCCCGTGTGGGGAGGGGGCCTGACACGTCTTCAAGGGGGTGGAATAGTGCTCCCCTCAAAGCTGAAGAGCTCAGGGGAGAAATCCGGGCGGCAACCCAAGCTGCTGGGAGGGTCTGGGATGAGCCCCAGCCTGGAAGGAGCTCTGTGTCGGTCAAGAAACAAGGACCAAACCCAGACCCCAGAGGAGCCCAGGCCATCCCACTTCCAGCTGAAATACAAGGGACTGAGCCAGGGTCTCGATAGCCTCAGTCACCTAGTAGGTCCCCCAGCCGTGGGCCCTGCTGTGCCCCCGATGACGTGGCCGTGCCTGATGACTTTTCTCACCTCTCCTCATCTTTCCCCCATCAAGAGTATAACCTTCCCTAGCTCATTTGACAGCAAAGCCCCCATAATTCAATAATCCTACGACCAGCAGATTCTCATAGCAGAAGCAAATGTTTAAAATGAACTTATTTACAAAACAGAAGCAGACTCACAGACTTAAAGAATGAACTCATGGTTACCAGTGGGGAAGGGATAGTTAGGGAGTTTGGGATTGAAATGTACACACTGCTATATTTAAAATGGATAACAAACAAGAACCTACTGTATAGCACAGGGCACTCTGCTCAATATTCTTTAACAACCTAAATGGGAAAGGAATTTGAAAAAGAATAGATACATGTATATGTATAACTGAATCACTCTGCTGTACACCTGAAACTAACACAACATTGTAAATCAGCTATACTCCAATATAAAATAAAATTAAAAAAATAAAAAACGTTGAGTGAAAGAAAGGCACCGAAAAAAGAAGAAAAAAAATAAGAAAAAAAACCCAAAATCAGCAACTTGAAAAAATAAATAAAAAAGTAAAATTGTGTTTGTAGATGATATGACCTTTTAAGAAAATTTTTTTTAACTGAAGTATCGTTGATTTACAATGTCATGTGTTACTTTCTGCTGCACAGCAGTGATTCCGGTATACACACACACACACGCACACATAACCTTATAGGTTATTACAAAATACTGAGTATGGTTCCCTGTGCTATACAGTAGGTCCTTGTTGGTTGGCTATTTTATATATAGTAGTGTGTAGATGTTAATTCCAACCTCCTAATTTATCCCTCCCCCCATATGATCTTTATATAGAGAAAATCCTAAAGACTCACTCAAAACCTGTTGGAACTAATCAACATTTTCATTCAGTGAAGTTGCAGGATATAAAATCAACATATAGAAATCAGTTGTATGTTAAATTTAGCCAAAGATAAATGTAGCCAAAAAAGTGAAAGATTTGTACAATGAAAACCATGACTTTAATGAAAGAAACTGAAGACCCTTCAAACTTATTTGAAAAGGGAATTCCAGTTTGTTAAGACCATTAGCAAAAAAAAAAAAAAAAAAAATCTTAAAAATGAAAAATACCTTTTTCAAAAAGGTATTTTTGTCAAAAGACAAAAATCCTTTATTGGACTTACAATGAAAAGCAGTTGTATTCCAAGTTGGATTTGACCATAATGGTCACCTTGAGAATTTTTTTCTAAGTTGTAAGGGCTGAAACAACCAGGACCTCCATGAGCCCTCGGGGTTGGCCAGGTGATGGGGGCCCATCCCACAACTGTCCCTGTAACAAGACGTGGTTCCTGCTAGGTTCCGCCTCGTCCCTTTTCTGACGGAGCTGAGGGCCGTGATGGACTGGGTGTGGACAGACACGACCCTGAGCCTGTCCAGCTGGATCTGTGTGGAGGACATCTATGCTCACATATTCATCCTCAAGTGTTGGCGGGAGTCGGAAAAAGTAAGCCAATAATGATGCCTTAGCCCTATTTGTTTCTTTTAGATACAGGCTGTTATTAATAGGAACTTCTGCAAATTTTCCGGCCAAATAAATGAAGCAGAAACTACTAGGACCTATAAATGCCCCATTGATTTCACCCCATGCAAGTTAGGAATCTTGGACCTGCTGTTGCCTTAGAATAGCATCCAGATTTGTTCTTCTTCTGGCAGCTGTATATTGTGGTTAAGAAGGTGTATTGCTGTACAACCCAATAATTCTGAAGTGGCTCATTTGAGAGCAAGAGGGAATGAGATGTGCTGGAGAAAAGTGGGGTCAGGTGGCTGGGACTCAGGGTCAGCCTCTGATTCACTCTTTGATGAGGGACAGGCAATGTAACATCCTGTGCAAAGGAAATTGAAGTGCAAATATTTGCATATTCTTCTAGGTTGGATATTAAGGTTGACATATGGATAGAATTACTGTTATTTAAGGGATGTAGTCCAGCCTCCTGAGTAGCCCTGAAGGGAAACAGGTCCTGGAGAAGAAGCAGCTAAGCAAGGAACAGGCCTGTAGACCGAGCGGTTTCCACGACACGTTGCAAAGCTGGGCCCTCCACCGTCCGCAGCCTGAGCTTGGGGCTGGGGAGCCCTTGATGCAGCAAACAGAGGTGATTCCAGCTTGGACAGCGTGGTCCTGACAACGTGTGTCATGAATGAAGTTAAAATGTTTTCCGCCCACCATGCTGGGGAGGAGCCCGTTGAAAGGCACAGGTTTTGAATATTCAGGAATTTAAAATATCCTTATCTCGCCTGATCCCTTAAAACCAGAGGTTTATTCAGCAGAGGCTTTGGTCCCTTGGTCCATAGGTCAGCCCCCAGCAAATCCACACAGCCCTGTTAAGGAGAAAGCCGCTCAGGCCGTGATAGACCCAGTGTTCCGTGTAGGGGGATCCTCGCAGCCCTGCATCACTGCCTGCCTTGTTCCTGGGTTGGGACAGAGTGGATTCAGAGCAGATTCAGGACCCAATCCAGGGCGGACCCCGTGGTTAGAGCGCCCGCCCTTCCCCCACCCGCTTCTCCCCGGGGACCCCGCCTGAGCGCGTGGCCCTTCTGTTGCAGAGGTACCCGCAGCCCCGGGGGCAGAAGAAGAAGAAGGTGGTCAAGTACGGGATGGGGGGGATGATCATCGTCCTGCTCATCTGTATTGTGTGGTTCCCTCTGCTCTTCATGTCTCTGGTCAAATCTGTCGCCGGGGTCATCAACCAGCCCCTGGACGTCTCGGTCACAATTACCCTGGGCGGGTACCAGGTAACCGCGCCTCCCTCCGGGGTCTCCCCCCTCCCCCGGCCCCTGCCAGTGCCTTGCCCAGCCGTGCTTTCCCCTGATAACCACCCAGAGGACTTACTTAGGTTTTGCGGACATTATTTTCCGTCTGAATTTTGACTGTTCTGCAAATGTGATATGTGAGCTAAGGTGCAGAAGACAGAGAAGGGAGAGTTCTGTTCTAGTTGTGGGTGATACACGACCTAATATTTTTCTTAGAACCCAGGATGCAGAGAAGTGCTTTGGAATAGTAACCATCCTGTGTGTCTTTGTTTTCCAGCCTATTTTCACAATGAGTGCCCAGCAAAGCCAGCTGAAAGTTATGGACCAGCCAAAGTTTAATAAATTTATTAAAGCTTTTTCTAAGGACACTGTAAGTAAATGCATGGAGTCGGTCTCGATGAACACCTGTCATATCGACCAGCTGACTGTTGTCACCTTATTTATTCACCACTTTACCATGGCCTGAGCCGGTGGGCAGGACTTTCTGGGGGTTACTAGTCACACACAGCAGGTTCCTGGCCACTGGCCGCTTTGATCATCTAAGATGTTATGTCTATATTATCAGACATGGGATAATAAACATATTTCTAATTCAGAGTATTTTCATGATAAGCACAACAGGTGTTGATCCTTTATAAATTTTTAAAATTGTGGTAGATATTGATCCCTTTAACTGGTAGGGAATCTATCCTAAGGAAATCATTCAAAATACAGAAAAGCTCCAAGAGGTGCCTGTTTGTGATGGCACGCTCCGTGTTAGTAAGAACTAGAGGCAATTTGGGATTCAACAAGTAGGGAATGAGTGAATCAGTTACAGCAGATTTTTCAGGCAACTTCCTTTGTAATAAGATAATCATTACAAAGATGATTTCATGGCACGAAAATTTCTCAAAATGAAACATAACTTTAAAAAGACTATTATTTTTAAATGATTTAAAAAATGAAGATATGCATCCTCTACCGTATAAAACAGGGATGATGTTCTGGTGACAGAGCTGTGGTGGACGTCATCCTTTTCTCTGCATTCCATGCTTTTGATAAGATGGTGGCATGATTCTTCACAATTAAAATTGGCTTTACTGACGATGCTTTTTATTTAAATAAAGTGATTAGGCAAACACATACTGTTCTCTTTTGAAAAATGATCGGCCTGTAAGTGCACACTGTCAAAAGTAATCTTGAGGAGTACACAGCTGTGAGGAAGGGCCCCGATGTCCTGGGTGGATTAAATTTGACTCTCTCATGAGACGGACGTTCCCCAGTAGTTGATAAACGTCTTTCTTTAGTGCGAAGGAAAAAAATGACACTAAATCATCTGATTTTTCTTTACCGTTTCATTGGAATGATTCTATGGCCGTGGGTGTGGCAACATCACCACTGGAGTTTGGTGATGTGACTGGAGCTGATGGTGTCAGAACACACCAGGCAACCCATTGTAGGGAGGTGCCTTTCAGAGGAAGAGATTCCCCCTGGATACGGTCAGTTAAAGGGAAGAGTAGTTACTTTCTTACACATCCTCAAGTACGTATCTGTTTATGCAAGTGTATTTGTGTGCACACAGGGTGCTATGCAATTTCTGGAAAATTATGAAAAAGAAGACATAACAGTAGCAGAACTGGAAGGAAACTCAAATTCTTTGTGGACCATCAGCCCTCCCAGTAAGCAGAAAATGATACACGAGCTCATGGATCCCAATAGTAGCTTCTCTGTTGTTTTTTCATGGAGTGTGCAGAGGTAGTTACTGTATTTCCATGCATAATTCCCCCTTCCCCAACCTGAACTCGGGGCGGGGGTTGGGGGCTGTGGAAGGATACACACCTCAGATTAATTCTGATCTTGGTTCACATTACTTCCTGGGAACATTCATTCGATGCTACAGCTAACATTTTTGTTTATTAAATAATGATTTTGCCTGGGAATCACTGACAAAACGAAGAACTTCTTAGTTTTCCTTTTTTCTACTAACTTCAGCTTTAAAGAGGCTGGCAATGAGATCTGTGACCAAGAGAGAAAGGTGGAGAGAAAAGAAAGAGGGTGATGACTCATAACATGAAACTGAGTCGGGTGAAGTGTAAGATTTCCCTGAGCTTGGGGGTCTGGTCTTAATCACAAAGGACTTGCAGCACTGGGAACCCTGATTCTCCCTTGCCGGCCTCCAGCACTTGGGGAGCCCCAGCACCTCTTTTCTCCGAGCCTGAGCTGGGAGAGCCTCTGGGCAGTCCCAGGACGGGAGAGCAGGGAGATTCCTTCCCACCCCACCTGAGCCTCTGGCCAGCCTGCGGCCACCACGCAGCACGTCTCGCAAAGCATTCTTGCATCCGAAAGCCCGACGTGTCTGGGGGGCCGTTGGGGGGCCTGGACGTAATACCCGGTCTGATTAGCTCAGTTTCCTTCATGACAGGCTGTGACTCAGGACTCTGGGCAGTCCCGTGATAGGTTTGTTGGGTCCACAATACCAGCTTCTTGGTTGGAATTAAGAATCATGATAGGTAAGGAAGAAAGCCTTCTAGAATCTGACTTCACAAGGAAGTAGTAAGAACTATTTTGAAGGAGGCTGCTCAGAATTTAAAGAACTCCTTCTTTAGGGCTTCCCTGGTGGCGCAGTGGTTGGGAGTCCGCCTGCCGATGCAGGGAACACGGCTTCGTGCCCCGGTCCAGGAGGATCCCACATGCTGCGGAGCGGCTGGGCCCGTGAGCCACGGCCGCTGAGCCTGTGCGTCCGGAGCCTGTGCTCCACAACGGGAGAGGCCCGCATACCACAAAAAAAAAAAAAAAAAAAAAAAGACCTCCTTCTTTAATCTTATTTTCTCCTTTTAAATGTCCCAAACTCCTCACGTGGAATTCTGTACTGGCAAAAATGCACTTCCTAGCCCTTCCTTTGAAGAGCCACCAAAAGAAATTAAAAATCAATTTCTGATTGAACATTCTGCTTTTGACTGAGATATAATTGACGTGTAGCATTATTTTAGTTACAGGGGTGCAACATAATGATTTGATATTTGTATACGTTTCAAAATGATCACCACAAGAAGTCTAGTTAACATCCATCACCACACAGTTACCAAAAATTTTTTCCCTGTGAGGAGAACTTTTAAGATCTACTCGTTTAGCAACTTTCAAATATACAGTACAGTATTATTAACTACAATCACCATGCTGTACATTACATCCCCAGGACTTACTCATGTTATAACTGGAACTTGTGCCCTTTGACCCCCCTTCATTCACCACCACCCCACCTCTGGGAACCACCAATTCATTCTCTGTATCTATGAGTTCAGGTTTTGTGTTTTTATTTTTAGATTCCACATATAAATGAGATTATACAGTATTTCTGACTTATTTCACTTAACCTGGATGAAACTTGATGGCATTAGACTATCACAAATAGCAAGATTTCATTCTTTTTTATGGCTGAATAATATTCCTCTGTGTGTGTGTGTGTATGACATCTTCTTTATTCATTTATCTGTCAATGGACACTTAGGCTGCTTCTGTATCTTGGCTATTGTAAATAATGCTGCAGTGAACATGGGGGTGCAGATATCTTTTCGAGTTAGTGTTTTCATTTGCTTTGGAAAAATACCCAGAAGTGGGGTTGCTCAGTTACATGGTAGTTCTATTTTTAACTTTTTGAGGAACCTCCAAACTGTTCTCCATAGTGGCTGCAGCAACTTACATTCCCACCAACAGTGCACAAGGGTCCCCTTTTCTCCTCACCAGCACTTGGTAACTCTTGTCTTTTTAATGATGGGCATCATGCCATTCTGACAGGTGTGAGGTGATATCTCATTGTGAACATTCTTTTTAAAACATAGATTCTCTGAGTCCCCATGGAGACTAACATCACTGGGTTAACATAAAGTGTTTCAGAATCCCTGTTAGATCATCAGGGATTTCTCTTGTGTCCCCACACTCTCCTCCTCACCTGTATCTGTGTTAAAGGTGTCTGAGGCCTCCCTGGATGTCTAAGAGGCTGGCTGTAAAGGTGAGGAGGACAGGTTGAGGTTGACAATTGTGGACCCAGTGAAACTTGGTGAGATTAATAGTTCAGTGAGTTTTTAACCTCTCCTGCAGACTTCTGAATAACCACTGACATTGAGCTCTTTTTTTTTTCTTCACAGAAACATGAGTCTGGGTGCAAAAGCCGAAATAGCAACAGATAAGCTTTCTTTTCCTCTTAAAAATACAACACGAGAGCACATTGCTAAAATGATAGCTGGCAACAACACAGAAAGTTCCAAAACGCCAGTGTAAGTTGACTGTCATTTTTAATACAGTGTTAGAAGGTGTGTGTATCTGGTCCAGATCTCCTCTACAAATAGGTGTGTGCAAGAAACGCCATTTCTTCCTTCTTTGGTAACTCAAGTGAGCCTGTACTTAAGAGTCCTTGATGGGCTGGGTCAAAGCGCGTCTGCTCTCCTCCCGCCCCACCCTGCCCAGCTCGTCCGGGGACGACTGACCTCTTCTCTGGGGAGCAAACCTTGCTCTCATCTGACCGTAATCACCAAAAGCCAGGGAAAGGCCCTGGGAGACTCTTTTCTACTATTACTCCTGCCCCTGGGGCACCAAATGCCTGGCTAACAAATGGGCGTGAGAAGGCAAAGGGGGTGGGTGGAAATCTGAGGGAAAAAAACTGTATCCTAATATATTATCCTGCCACACAATACTCCACTCCAAACATCTGAGCTGTGATGATTAGATTCTAACATGAGAACCAGCAGGAGAAAAACACTGCCATTGGTCCAAAACTGCTAAGTGAAGTATTCCAGACGCCCACCAGCCACAGCCCAGCTCTGTCCCCTGTCTGCCCCAGCCCCGGGTCAAAGTGCTTTGCGTGAGGACTGCCACGATGCAGCCCTCAGACATGGTCCCTAAAGCACCCCTTGTCAATCACTAAACACTAAGGGCCCCTGAGAACCGTCGGATCCTCCCCCATCACTTCCTGGATGAGAACACAGCCCTGGAAAGATGGAGTGGCCCGTGCGCAGGGTGGGCTAAGGGCTAGGATGCCAGTCTTCTGCCCCCCACCCCCCACTCCCGTCTCTGGATCTGCTCGGGCAGCCCACTTCACTAGAGAGAGTTTTGAAATCACAAACATTAAAATTGGAAGAGTGGTAGGATCCTAGCAAGAAAGACAGCGCCTGGCTTCAGAAAAGTCACAGATGTGGGAAAATCTCTGCAGCAGTTTTTAAGCCATTAACCAGCTTGTGTACAGAGTTGGCATGAGTGTCTGGTTAGAACCTGGTGAATTTATTCGGCTTCAGAGACTTCTCATTTTAATGGAAACCGATAAACTATGAAGACTGCACATCGCGTAGTTATAGGAAGACTCTCCCCATTACTTGTTTGAGATGAGGTCAAAAATAGCAACAAGAACAACAAAAAAACAATTTTGCATGGGTAAAACAACTAAAACTTAATTATCCTTTTTTCTCTTAATGCCCAGGACCATAGAAAGGATTTACCCATACTACGTGAAAGCACCCAGTGACTCTAACTCCAAACCCATAAAGCAACTTTTATCTGGTAAGAATGAGAAGGAATTGTTTCAGAACGTTTCTTAATCTTTCTTTTATTCAATATCTGTAGTTTGCCTTTTCAGCCTTTATCAAGCTCCTTTCCAGTTGTCTTCCCCCTATGACATGGTTTGCAAGAAGCATAAGGCTCTGAGCTGTGTCCACCAGCAAGAAGGGATCATTTACTCACCTGGGGGCGTGTTCTTCATCTTCCTTTGTTCATTGATATAGAACTTGATTGACTTAAATCCACGTTCAGTGACATGTTAACTGATTCATCAGAATCTGTTTGTTTCTATTAGCAACCGTATCTTGGGCAGAAAACTGCCTAATACAGCGTTAACTCTGAAGGCCCCACGATAAGAATAAAAAGATGGCAGGAAATGGACTTGATTCAGCCCGAGGGTGACTGAGTACCAGTAGTAGGGCTCCATCTATTAAAGCTCTCAGCCAGCAAAAAAGTCACCTCCTCTGGGAAGTCCTCAGGGATCATACCACCCAGAAGTGGTCGCCCCCAGCTGACAGACCTTGTCAGTGCCGGGGGTTGCCACGTGCCCGTAAATAGTGCTTGTGTGCATGGCCTTTCCCATTGAACCAGGCTGCGTGCAATCTGGTGACCCCTTAGCACCTCCTGGAGCACCTTCCTCCTGGAAGGCACTCAGTAAACGGTGGTAACATGAAAGAATCCATCAGTTTCATCAACAGTCAGCTACTGGGGTTTTTAAATGTCTAATTAGTTGTTTGGAATTGTCAGCCAAGATGCTCCGGTGATGGGTCTCCATTCACCCTGTGACTTTGCTGCTGTCTCATGTAGCAACAGGACTGGCCTCTTAGAGAAAGAGAGAGACCCCCACGGCCAGGCCCCCTCCTCCGTTTCCTCTCACAGAGCCAATGTGCCCGTGTGTCCCCATCCTGGAACCGGATGCCATGGGTACCAACCAGGCCATCCTGGTTCATCCGAGAATGGCTGAAGTGCATTAAATCCATAAACTCTCCTGCTAATTTGATTTCATGTTTCTCCTTCTCCAGAAAATAATTTCATGAACATCACCATTATTCTGTCCAGAGACAATACAACTAAATCCAACAGTGAGTGGTGGGTTCTCAACTTGACTGGGAATAGAATCTACAACCAGCATGCGCAGGCCCTGGAGCTGGTGGTCTTCAATGACAAGGTCAGCCCCCCAAGCCTGGGGTTCCTGGCCGGCTACGGGTAAGGAACCATTTCACCATTAACAGTTACGAGATCCCACTTATGTATCACACCAAGTTGAGGATGGGAAGTCTTTTATCTTCTTAGAATTCTAAAATTCTATAGCTGCATTATTAGAATTCCCAGATCCTTGGCCCTTCATTTTATTTATTTTTAAATTTTATTGACGTCTAGTTGATTTAGTGTTGTGTTAATTTCTTCTGTACAGCAAAGTGACTCAGTTATTCTCATATATATATGTATTTTTTCTTTCCATTATGGTTTGTCACAGGGCCCTTCGTTCTAAAAACTGAGGAACCAGAGTCCCAAAGAAGTCAAAAATGCCTTGTGTGAGTCCCACCACCAGGCATAGGACCAGAAGCCATATTTCCAGCTTCTTAACTATTCCTTCCTGTTACAGCACAGTTTAGTGCAATTCAGGGCTTAAACTAGAAATAGGCAGAGTTCTCTCTTTCCTGCTAACATTGCCTTCTGACCTGAACAGATGGAGAGTCAGGTAGAAATCAGTTTGGGACATGCCCAATGTTACCATTTCTCCATGTTCTGACACTTCAACCCTAGGACAGGCACACCCCCTACAAGATGCTAGTACAAAGTTTTCTTCTTCCCAGAATGAGCCTCTTAAGAAATCACTGTCTATCCAGAATTTTATTATAAACATGAATCCCTGAGAAAGGCAGGGCAAAGTCCTGGGTACAGAAAAGTGTATAAAATAATTGCATTTCTATCATATATATATATATTTTTTTAACATCTTTATTGGAGTGTAATTGCTTTATAATGGTATGTTAGTTTCTGCTTTATAACAAAGTGAATCAGCTATACATATACATATATCCCCATATCTCCTCCCTCTTGCGTCTCCCTCCCACCCCCCCATCCCACCCCTCTATCTACCATATATGTTATGTAGCTTATGCATATAATATATGCAGTAAAACCACCAGAAGTTCATACACGAAACTATTAACATTGGTTGTTTCCAGAATGTAAGATTTCAAAGGATTTTCATTTTTCAAGTCCTACAGTTCTGTAATGTGTAATTAATTTTTTTTAAAAAAAGCATGCATTACCCTTTAGTCAGCAGAAAGGTCAATGTTTTCACCAAGGGGAAACAACTTAAGCCTTGGTAAGTCTATCATGTCTTTTATGGCATTTGAGGGAAAATGTTCATTTTTTTTTTCTTTTAGGCATGTTCTCTTAACCATATGTAACGGCCAGATACATTTCTACCTCATTTTTTTTTTTCAGTATCATGGGCCTCTACGCTTCAGTGGTCCTGGTGATTGGGAAGTTTGTCCGTGAATTCTTCAGCGGGATTTCTCACTCCATCATGTTTGAAGAGCTTCCGAATGTGGATCGGATTTTGAAGTTATGCACAGATATTTTTTTAGTTCGAGAGACCGGGGAGCTGGAACTGGAGGAGGACCTTTATGCCAAATTAATATTCTTGTACCGTTCGCCAGAAACCATGATCAAATGGACCAGGGAGAAAACAAACTGACGCCCCAGGCCACAGACCACAAGCCAAGTTCACATTGGAATTTTCCAAAGAAAAAAAGAAAAGCACAATACTCTCCTAAGAGCTAAGCATTTCTAATTCGGTGGAAACGGTCTCTCTTCTGACTGGTGCAGAAGGACTGGGCTTCCTTTTGCCCTCAGAGCTACGAGCAGAGGTACTCTCGAAAAGTCCTTTGTAATTCCATTCCTCTGAAATCAGGGCTACTCGCTTTATGTTTTAGTGCCTGTGTCTTGCAGCCTGATGGACTACGTGTTGGAGTCACTGATGGGTCTCGTCCCTTAGAGGAACAGAACAGGAGGAGGAGAAGGAAGGAGAGGCCTTCTCCTGTGAGGGGCGGCGCCCTCCGAAGAGACGCTACAATGCAACGCAATGCACGGGGCTCTGCGGCCAAGGGGACGCTGCTGTGAGGACGGGGGCCCTGCACGCCGAATACGCAACAGAACGGGGACTGAAAACTCCTACCCATATGTCTAGAGGGGAAACAGGGAGGGGCCGGTGACCCATGGCGATGCCAGTGGAAGGATAAGCCTCATCCTGAGCAGAAACATAACATTAGTGACACTTACTGCCTTACCTTAACTGAAGACTAATGAGAAGGCCTTCCATTAAACACCAGTGACCTCTCAGGAAAAAACAGCAGCAAAACAACTACGTGGACACGGTGTTGCTGAGGCCCCAGGTGGTGACTCACTCCGACCTGGTGGTTTTCTGGTTCAGAGAGTTACTGCTCTCCGTGAAACACCGACGCCCAGCTGGAGGTGGGGTCCTTGGACGTTGTCACCTTTACTGACTGAGGTCTGAGCTCTCCTCTGCCCCACCCCCACGCTTCCTCCCATTCCCATGATTCACGGCAGTGGTTTTTTCCAGTATGTGACATTTTTTTCCCCTGTTTTTCAGGTCTATCAACGAGTTTACATATTCCAATTCACATTTTTACATCTGAGACGGGTTTTTTTAAGTTCAAAGTTATGGAAGAAATATGTATATTGAGCTTGGGGAAATAAACAAATGGCCTTTTCTTAAATTATTATTATGGGTCATACAACCTCTTCATGAAATAACAATGTAGCATGAAAAGCTGATGACTGAAATGTAGTTTTCATTCCATATTAAAAGACAGTTTCTGAGAAGAATCATCGAATGGACTAGACTGTGTCCCCCCCAAAAAAAGTGATCCTCTGTAGTTTGGGTTCAGGACTGACAAAATAAAGCACATCCTGCAAAGTCACCTCAAGAATACTCTTCATTCTGCCTTACTGCATGAACTAGGAAAGGCGACTTCTCTGTACTGTGTACCGGGAGCTACAAAAATCAACTAAGAATCCACTTCTTGTTGGTTGCATTGTGGGTTTTCTCATGTGGGTGCTCTATGGGAATAATAAAAGCAGGAAACAACTGGTGAGAAATTAACTTCCCAGAAGGAAACCATTACAGTGAATATGGATCTTTTAAAACATATCAGAGTTCAACTGATGCCCTGTGTCTTCTAGGGAATCAGTGCGAACCTGTGCTTCAGCTGTGAAAGCCGCGTGCCTCCCCTCTGCTTAGAGAAATGCTTGTCATCTTAGCAATAAACTCAGAGCACTCAGGGAGCTCTTCAGCCCACACTTGATTTCCCAACAGCAGGAAGCGTCTTCCTGCACGTTCCTGGTTGTGAATTCTTTCTTTTAAAAATGTCAGCAAGGGACCTCGAGAGAGCACATTACAGCATATTTAGGAAGAGAAGGAATAGGAATCCTCCTAACAGGCGTAGAGGTAAAGGATGCCAGGATAGTAAACAAGTCCCATGGTTCAAGAAAAAGCCTCAGGTGTGGAGGAGGGAGGACACAGAACGACACAGAGAGATGTAGAAGGACCAGCCCTGCCGAGGCCTGTGTTGGAGTGGGACTCCCCAGAGAAGGAGGTGCCTCTGCTGGGACCCCCCAGCCAGCCTGTCACGACCCTGTTCAGCCCAATTATCTGACAACGTGAAGGGATCAGCAAGCTGTAAACCGGCTTAATCCTCAGCCTCAAATGAGCGCCGGACCCGGCCCAGAGATGAGGGACACATGTCCCCTTAGAATATGTTCTCTGGAGACAGCTCTGAGAGGGGCCGTCCCCAAGGACATGGGGGGGGGGTCTGGCCAGCGAGGAGGGAGGACCAGGCAGAGGGACATGGGGCTTCACCCAGCCCCGGGAGTGCTGGTGAGCTGGGGCCGCCCTTCCAGGTCCTGAGCAAAGGCCCAGCATCTGGATGCTTTATGCATAATTGCCAAAATCTTGGAAGCAACAAAGATGTCCTTCGGTAGGTGAATGGACAAATAAATAAAACTGTGTTAGAATCCAGACAATGGAATAGTATTCTACAGTAAAAAGAAATGAGCTCTCAAGACATGAAAAGACATGGGGGAAACATAAATGCATTTTACTCAGTGAAAGAAGCCAATCTGAAAAGGCTACATACTGTATGATTCCAAATATATGACGTTCTGGAAAAGGCAAAACTATCCAGACAGTAAGAGATCAATGGTTGTCAGGGGTTAAGGTGGAAGGAAGGGAAAAGGCAGAGCTCAGAGGATTGTAGGGCAGTGAAAATACTCTGTATGAAACTGTAATGATGGATACATGTCATATAATACATTTGTCCAGACCCATAGACTGTACACCACCAAGAGTGAACTGTAATGTAAACTATGGCCTTTGGGTGACAATGATGTGTCAATGTCAGGTCCTCATTTGTAACAAACGTCCCATCTGGCGGGGGATGCTGATAATGGGGGAGACTGTGCATGTGTGGGTCCGGAAGTCTATGGGTAATCTGTGTACCTTCCTCTCAATTTTGCTGTGAACCCAAAACTGCTCTAAAAAAATTGTTTCAATAAAAAAAAAAAGCCACCTGTAATACTGATAAAACTCAGTGGGGGGAATGAATATGAAAGTGGGGAGAGACCAGGAATATTACAGTGATGCTATTCTTCCCCGTGGAAAAACCCACGCAGAACCGGAGAGAAAAAGTCCTCCCAGATCTTCTTCTTTAAACCCCTTAGTCATTAGCCCCCGATTAGCCAAGTATGTGGCCGTCCCCCCTGGAGGAAGGAAGCCAGCCTGGGGACCCTCTAACTCCCCTGAGCCCACATCGAGTCCATCCTCCATCACCAACATCCTCATGGGACCTCCAGTGGTCAGTTTAGATTTTGTCCCCAGAAGGCTCTGAAATGGCTCAGAAACTCCATCAATTAAGTGATTTCTATACCACTCCACACCTAAGACCAAACTTTTAGTCCTTATTCAATTTCCCATCACAAACTATGGTCCAGGCACTTGGTCCAATGTCACCTCTGTGAGGATGTACAGAGAAATAAAATGACATCCCTAAGATACGTCAAAATAAAACGCTAACATGGAAATATTTCAACCTTAAATGCAAGCCTCCTTTCACAATTTTTCAGGGAGAAACGAAAGTTAAAATAGTAAATCAAGTTAATGTCCAAGGATTAAAGAAGATGGATTAAATTCTCTTACCTTCATGAGCTAACAGTCAAAGACAGTAGAGCCGTGTCCCCATTCTTGGGAGGAACAGAGGCCACTTCAGGGAAGAAGCTCGTGGCATCTTCACAGGGCCTTTTGGTACTTCAGATGTTCATTCCACTCAACACCAAGTTTCTGATTGTGCCTCATTTTTAAAAGAGTCCCAAAATCAGTAAGACCCACAGAACTTGCTCATAATGACCAAATTTCAAAAGCATTTGAGACAAGTCCCTGCCTGCCCAGCTGTCCAAGGCCAATGCGTGTCTCAGAAGCATAAAGGGTATTTGCCAAAACCCAGAGCAGAAGCTCAACGGAAGCCTGGTGGAGTCACATGGGTCCGAGACTGGCTGGGAAGCCTGTCTGTCGAGTCAGGTGAGCAGAATCCAAAACCCTGACCGTGACCTTCACCCAGTGCAGGGCTGCATCCTGGTGCGTGGTGACCTCTGGCTGCTGCGTCTGTCTTTGGGAGAGACACCCCCATTGCACCCCACCCCCTCTCCCAGAGGCACAGCTGGAGGAGCCGGGGCTGCCCGCGGGACGCAGCTGCCCTGCAGGTCCAAAGCAACGGTCTTTAGGGTTAGATTTAGGGGAGATTTAATAGGTTGCAGGGAGACTTTCCCCAAAGCCGCTTTTCCCCAACGTTTATGTGCACGTGCCCGCATTTGTTCTTTCAGGCGGAGCAGGTGAGGAGCGCCAGCCAGGTGGCCGAGGAAATGGGGAGCTGCCAGGCGTGATTGAGGCGCCCACCCGACCCTTGGCCGGAGGAAGGACAGAAAGGAAACGTCCTGGAGAGCGACAGCGGGAGGATGGAAACGGCAGGCGGCACTCAAGCAGCTCTGGGCCCCCATCTCCCTGCCTCTGCATCCACCGCAGTCTGGGAAAGGACTTCTGAAAGGCCACAGACACCCAGGAGACTGTGAGATACCCAAGCGTCCAGAAGAGCGGGGGTGTGTGGAGGGGTGGTGGTGGAGGAAGGGGCTGGGGACCAGGCTGGAGGCCCAGGCCGGGTGAGCAGAGCGCACAGGGACTGGAGCCATTCGCATCCGGGGCTGAACATGTGGCCACAGCCGCAGAGCCTGGCCCATCCTTGGTTAGCACCCAGGATGCCCCTCACACGCCCCGCATCCCCGCCCTGTCCTCCCAGGGTCTCCGCTTCCCGCCAGGTCCCGCCCATCGTCCTCCCGGCCCCTGGTGGGTGCGGCCATCCTCCTTCTCCAGGTTCAGGTTCAGGGCCAGTTGCTATTCCGGAGGGAGAGAGGGGGGGAAGGGCTGGGAAAAGGCCAAGGAAGCGGGGTTTTCAGGATAGAGGGGGGGGGGTTAAGGTTGGTGTGATCTGACCTCCAGGCAGAAACCCTAAAGGGTGGCGGGGCTGTCCCCCGGGAGGCCCCACGTCTCACAGGCACAGCCCCTGCGTCTCTCACACAAACGTGTACGTCTCCTTCCCAGTGAACGTCGTCCAATGCCAGGAGGAAGTGCCTCTAGGCTGGTTGG